TAAATACACTGCTAGAGCTATTGTCTCTTGATAAACATGGCAATAAAGCTGATATTATTGCAAGAATACTGACCTTCCTATCCAAACCTGTGGACAATGGAATAGTAAGATTATCATTATCATCATCATCATTATTGTTATTATTATATACATGTATTAATGAAGTACATGTGTCTCTGTCTTTAAACGTATTGACAGTTAAGAGCATGTACTGCTAGTTAGATGTACTCATTATTATTCATTATTATTATTATTATTATTATTATTATTATTATTATTATTATTATTATTATTATTTCCCTAGCCTATTCCTGAGCCAAAGAAAAGGAGAAAGTCATCAATTGAAAAGGTTAACAGCAGCACCTTTACATATCATTATACATGTGCATGTACCTGTGTCTTTATGTTGTGTGGAAAGTTTGAGCAGGGCCTCGGATCAAATTTTACCAAAAATGAAAAGTAGAGAATTCTACATTTTGAGTACATTTTCTGATACATATACATGTTCTTATGTTGTGTAGAAAGTTTGAGCTGATTCCGATCAAAATTGGATTTTATATGAATTTTTAAAGTTGCTCCAAAATCGGACCAAAGTCCCTGTACTATAGTACAGGGTCACTGGCCAAATTTTTCCCAAAAATGAAAAGTAGGCAATTCTCCATTTTTATAACTTTATCTGATACATATACATGTCTTTATGCTGTGTAGAAAGTTTGAGCTGATTCCGATCAAAATTGGATTTTTTTACAAATTTTTAAAGTTGCTCCAAAATCAGGCCAAAGTCCCTTTACTATAGTACAGGGTCACAAGCCAAATTTTGCCAAAAATGAAAAGTAGAGAATTCGCGATTTTTATAACTTTATCTGATGCATATACATGTTCTTATGTTGTGTAGAAAGTTTGAGCTGATTCCGATTAAAATTGGATTTTATATGAATTTTTAAAGTTGCTCTAAAATCATGCCAAAGTCCCTGTACTAAGCCAAATTTTGCCAAAAATGAAAAGTAGAGAATTCTCCATTTTTATAACTTTATCTGATACATATACATGTCTTTATGCTGTGTAGAAAGTTTGAGCTGATTCCGATCAAAATTGGATTTTTTTACAAATTTTTAAAGTTGCTCCAAAATTATGCCAAAGTCCCTGTACGATAGTACAGGGTCACAAGCCAAATTTTGCCAAAAATGAAAAGTAGAGAATTTGCGATTTTTATAACTTTATCTGATACATATACGTGTTCTTATGTTGTATATAAATTTTGAGCTGATTTGGATCAAATTTGGATTTTTTACGAATTTTTAAAGTTGCTCCGACATACTATAGTACAGGCTATTTCACTAGGAGAATATTCTCCATTTTTATTATATTAACTGTACTACTTGTGACAGTAGATCACTATATACTTATTAATTAACTGTATTTATTAAATTAAGTGATCACACATGTACACATGTAGTTTAATGAAGGAGGGAGAGAGAGGGGAGTACCTTTATAATTGAACACATACATTCATTTAGTTTAATATCCTTCTAGTTTATTATTAATGATATATTTATTATTTTACAGGCTGGTGGTGGTCCTACTAAGAAGAGTAAAGTAGATGAAGATGAAGAAGCTGGTCCTGAGACTGAGAAGGACAATAAAGGAGAGAAAGAAGACAATGGAGA